GGGATAACTGCTGTAGATGTAGCTGAGTGGGATGGAAGAAACCAAAAAGGCGGGCTGTGGGTCAATATGAGCAAAGGAAGCAGGGACTGGGACAGGAAGGGACAAAGACAGGGAGGGGAGGGTGAAGAAGAGGGGAGGAAGGGGAGGGGAGGAACCAAAGCTCAGGGTGGTCAAGACACAAGGAAGTCCTGTGGCAGTGGGACGGAGGTGTTTAAGAGCAGGATCAAGGACTCCTTCCTCCGAAGAGGGAGAGAAGACAGAACAGAACCTTGCTCTGAGCCTAGCCAGCTTCTGAAACTCCTTCTGCCTACAGAACTTTTACATGAGATTTCTGAGGTTTGCGCCGTCCCTCTGGTCTGTGGTGATTGGTTGCCACAGCTCCAGGCAACAAGCTCATGGAATCATGTCCTTCTCGGTGCAGGCCAGATAGACTGAGTGGGGGTTTTTGGAGCTGCACAGCCTAAGAGCCGGGAGGCAGAGCAGGAACTGAGCCTGACATGGCTTCACTGGAAACACTGGAGAAAGCTTGGGACGAGTTGAGAGTGAAGGGTGCCTCAGGCCCAGCCAGCTTCTGGAAGGGATTGACTCACTGTCTGAGAATGGCCTCGTGGCCTTCACCGCCTCCAGGGCCCACTCAGACCCCTTGAAGTTTCCCCTGCAAGAAGTGAGTTGAAGATTACTTGCGCAGACATCTCACACACTTCCTCACTGAATCCTTTAAACAACAGAGGCACAGGCGCTGCTGTCCTCATTTCGCAGATGGGAAAATAGGTCCCGAGGAAGGAAGTGCCCTGGTTCACAGAATTGATGAGGCTGCCTCCCAGTTCTCACCCAGCCCATGGCTAATTTTTTTTTCTGTATTAATTCTAGGTCCAGTTTTCCAGCTGGTGGGGACATAGATAAGCCTGCAACATCATGAAGCCTTGAAGAGCTAAAAAGAAAGGAACTGAGCTCTGGTGATATAGAAGGACATAGATGAGTTTAGGTCATCAAAGCAGAGCCATGTAGATGAAAGGGTGTAATTTGGGTGTGAGTGGAGTGATGTGAAGCAGAGAGACGCTGGGTCAATATGAGCAAAGGAAGCAGGGACTGGGACAGGAAGCGACAAAGACAGGGAGGGGAGGGTGAAGAAGAGGGGAGGAAGGGGAGGGGAGGAACCAAAGCTCAGGGTGGTCAAGACACAAGGAAGTCCTGTGGCAATGGGACAGAGGTGTTTAAGTGCAGGATCAAGGACTGTGATTCTCATCCAAGATTCTGTGCTTCCCCCCTACTCTGCAGTCCAAGGCTCAGACCTTCGGCCACGTGGCCTAGACTCTGACTCCAGAGACCTGGGAAGTAGGCCACGTGGGAAGGGAGCAGAGTGCCCAGCCTGGCTAGGAGCAGTGCTTCTGGGATACTGAAGCAATTCTCCTATCATTTGCAGTAACAAGAATAGACCTCAAGGATACTAGACTTGGAAAAATGAGTCAGATGGAGAAAGATGGGAGATTTTTACTTAGTGGAAGATATTGGAGCAATACATGAACCTGAACAAATCCTTAGATTGTTAAAACAAAATACTGGACTGGAAAGATAGCATAGAGTGTAGGGAACTTGTTTCGCCTCCTGGAGCCCGACCAGGAATGATCCCTGAGCACAAAGCCAGGAGTAAGCATTGCCAGGTGTGACTCCAAAACAAACAAACAAAAATGTTATTTAATGAAATAAAAACAAAATATTGGTACCCAGATGAACAAGGCAGGTGGGCTACTCATGTATGGTAGAGGTTGGAAACTAGGCATTTGATGGTAAACATAGAATAAACATTGATTTATGAGGCTGTAGACTAAAGTGACTTTATTTAATGCTATTTAAATGCTTGGAAAGGGTTAATCCATAACTGCACATAGGTGGTTTTGGGACAGCCCTGCCTGCCACCTATCAGGCAGAGATGTGTCTCCCCAGTCATATCTGATCACTGCAGAAGTCAATGAAAAGGGAGCAGAGGCAAAGAGAACAGCTCATGTCATTCATTAATCTGTGCTGCTGTAGATGGACTGCTAAACAGATCAAGATTGTCAATTAGGACAATCACACTTGAAAGGTATGTTGGCTTTAGATAGATAACAGGATTTGAGGTGGATAGTAAGATTAGGAAGGAAAACAAGAATACTTCAGTTGGGGACTGAGTTACTAAAAACCTTAGTGATTTTTGCTCTTAAACAATTCACTCAGGGAGGTAAAGATAGTGTGAGGGATTCTAGAGAACAAAAGCAAAAAAATAGTAAAGGAAAGTTACGAGAAGTACCTTTAACTTAACCTAAATAAGACCTCAAATACTGAAATATAAATTATTTTATACATATCATTGTACTGCCTCAATGGTATGGTAACTCAGGTTTTTAGTAATTCAGTCCCCAACTGAAGCTATTACCCTAGCTCATCCAAGATTCTGTGCTCTCTGGTTGTTAGGAGGGATCTGCAAGAAAAATAGCAAACTAGGATGGCTAGATTGGTGTGTGGTTGGATGGAAGTTTGTATGTATATATGGATGTATGGATGGGTGGATTGATGGATGGGTGGATTGATGGATGGGTGAATGAGTGGGTAACTGGATGCATGAATAGATGGATGAATGCAAGATGGGTGGATGATAGATGGATGGGTGAATGGGTGGATGAGTGGACAGATGATGAATGGATACATGGATGGACGGGTCATAGGTACAGAAATTTTACAAGCACAAAAGATTGGATTTTAAGGAATTAAAATCTTGAAGCCCATGCAGTTGCAGAGACTGACAAATCTGAAATATGTAGAACAGACCATGAAACTGGAACTCAGGAGTTATGAGGATTTTCTTTTCTATGAAATGTTAGTTTTGAGTTTCAGGTCTTAAACTGATGGGTGAGAATTCTATCTCCATTATGATGGAAGGCAACGTTTACTTAAAGCCAACTGGTTGTAGATGACAATGTCAATCTCATGTTAAAGTACCATCAATGAAATACCTAGATTAGTGTTTAATAAAATCACCAGGTGTGGTGGCCTAGCTAAGTGGGTACATAAAACTACCCTCGCAGCTGATTTCAGATGATTGTCGAACTGAAAAGAGAAGCTAGCCACTTGTGCTATTCAGAAATGCCACTACCTCCGAAGTGGGCAGTAGGTTAAGGGTGCTTGGTAAGACGTGGCCTTTTCCTTCAGTACTCAGAGGGACACTGACACCGGTAGATCCAGGAGGCTGTTTTCAGGAAGGTTCCTCAAGGATGTTGGAGTGCAATGGTTTGGGAAGTGGCCCCCCTGCTTGTGGTTATGGGGAATGAAACTGATTCAGCTATGATGAGCAGCCAAGCTTCACGGATTTGTTAACTCCGGAAGTGTGCAAGCTCAGTTGCACAACTACAGGTTGGTACATGGTTTGGAGAATTAAATTTGTTCAGGAGAAAATATATGTACATATGTTTGGTTTTGAGCCACATCTGGCAGTGCTCAGGGCTTCCTCCTGGCTGTGTACTAAAGGTTCACTCCTAGTGGGACTCAGGGGACCTTGGTGATGCCTGGAATTGAAATCATCTGTGTAATTTAAGCGCCTTAACCTTTGTGCTATCTTTCCGGTCTCCAACAGTATTTCAAAAAAGAGAATAATGTCTTGGATTGCTGAAAGGACAAGCTTGAAATTCTTGAGGGGCACTGATGGGTGAACATGTGTATGTTTGGAAAAAATTAGGAAATCAGAGAGTGGAGCCAGAACATGGGCTGAGGGGAATGCATCCATTGACTTTATAGGCCCTTGAGTAGCTCATTAGGGGTCCTGAGGTGACCAGGAAGGTGGGTCCAGGTGTAATAGGCATAGAAGCAGCGTGGAGAGCCTGGATAGGCTGTTTCCAGACACCAATCAATCCCTTGCAACTGTGAGAAACAAGAGTTTTTCCCAAAAGAGCATTTGGGAAGCACTCTGCCCCCTGATCAGAGCCATTCCAGAGTATCCTTAGTTAAAACATTCATCCTGGTCATACAATGCGAATACACAAAATGCTGCAGAACTTCTGGAGTAGTTTAGAAATTGATACTTGGTGACTGTGGCTTTGGAGTAAGAATTTATCCTTGATTTTCTTTTCCATAAAATGCAAAGGATCCCAAGGATTCTAGAATATAAAATGCATGTAAGGGCTGTAGGGATGCAATCTGAGAGGAGAGAAAAAAGAAAAAAAAAAACAGAACACCGGTGCTTGAAACGCCTATCCTGAGCTTCCATTCTGACTCCTGGAGCTCCGTACAAGTCCTGCTTGGGGAAGGCAAGCAGGGGTTTCCTCTGGGAGGCCACCAAGGAGGGGATTCTAGGGCACTGAGCCAGCATTGCAGCCAGGGCTCCCTGCACAGCGCCTTGGGGCACAGGAGGCTGAGGGTGGGATTACCAAGTCTCTGGCGTCATGCCAGGGGTGCTGCTGCCTGGGCTATAAATGGGCCCCGCTGAGTGTGTGTGTGTGTGTGTGTGTGTGTGTGTGAGAGAGAGAGAGAGAGAGAGAGACAGAGAGAGACAGAGAGACAGAGAGACAGAGAGACAGAGAGACAGAGAGAGACAGAGAGACAGAGAGAGACAGAGAGACAGAGAGAGACAGAGAGAGAGGGAGAGAGAGGGAGAGAGAGAGACAGAGACAAGACAGAGACAGAGACAGACAGACAGACAGAGACAGAGACAGAGAGTGTAACTGTGCTTGGGACACCATGAGCATTGTAAAAGTGTTTTCTAAAACCATAACCCCCTGCTGCCCACGTGTGGAAACCTCACCCAAGAGAGGGGCAGAGCGGAGGAGCCGGGTTCTGAATACCGAGCTGGGGTTGCCCCCTGGGTCCCCCTCCTCGTCCCCGCCCCAAGGAACCCCGCCTGCAGCCGAGCTGGCGGGAGAGCGGCGGGGAGCTGGGCGCCACCGAACCGACGCCCCGGCTGGAGGTGCTCGCCCCGCCCCGGCCCTCGGGGGAGGTGGGGGGAGGTGGGGTGGCGAAGGAGGAGCCGCGCGCATGTGCACAGCTGGCGCCCCCCGCCCCCCGCACACAGCTGGGACGTGGGCTGCCGCCGCCGGGCTGCCGGCCTCAGTCGCCCCGGGCTCTCGGCGCGCGGTCGGTGCGTGTGGTCCCCGCGTCGGTCCGCGCCGTCGGCCATGGCCTCGCGCCGCTGCCTGCTGGCTCTCGTGCTGTGCTGTGGCTGGGGGGCGCTGGCCGTGGTCTCCCCGAAACCCGGCGCCGGCTGTCCGAGCCGCTGCCTATGCTTCCGAACCACGGTGCGCTGCATGCATCTGTTGCTGGAGGCCGTGCCGGCCGTGGCGCCGCAGACCTCCATCCTGTGAGTGCGCGGTCCGGGGGTGTGCGGGACGGATCTGGAGGGGGCACTGCGGATGGGGTGGCAGGGGCTGCGGGGAGGCTGGGGAGCGGGGAGATCAGGAGGACACGCTGAGAAAGTCGGTGGATGCCAGGACTAGGGGGGAGAATCCCGACGTCGGGGGGAGCGGGGCCGGGCCTTTGTCCGCCCTGGCCAGGAGGGGCGCGGAGGTCGGGACTGAGCGCTGGGCGCGCGGCCTCCGAAGCCGCCTTTGTTCGGAGCCCGGAGTGCCCGGCCGGACCGGGAAGTTTGAGGAGGAGCCAGGGGAAACCCCGCGATCCTCTGGCCGGCTTCCCCCCCAAATCTCAGCCGGGTCGCCCTCCAGTTCGCTCCCTTCCCCTTCCCCTTTCTCCTCCCCCCAGCCTCTTTGCCCGCTCTCCTGTCCCGGCGCGGGGCACCCCCTCCTCTGCCGGGCCGGTTCTCCGCATCCCGCTCCCCGCCCAGTCCTACCCCCTCTTCCCCCTCCTTTCCCCTCTCCCCGCCTTTCTTCCCCATCGTCCTCTTCCTTCAACCCTCGCTCCTGTTTCTCCTCCTCCTCGAGTTCTATACTCCAGTGTCCCGGCTCCCAGGGCTTCGCTCGCGGGACCCTTGGTGACCCGCCCCAGCGCCCACCCACCCCCAACTCCCCACCCGCTTCTCTGCCGCCGTCTCTCGCGCGGAGTTGCCAGTCCGCGGGCGCACGGTTGGAGGGCTTTCCCCGCGCCGGGACTGGTGGGGCATGGGATGTGGGTTTCCGACTTTGAGCTGCAGCTCGGGCATCCCGGATCGGGCGGGAGCCGAGGCGGAGCGGCGCCGGGGCGCGCCCCACATCGCCAGCCCCAACGCGCCGGGGGCCTGGGAGCCAGACTTGCTGCATCCCAAGTTGCTACAAAGTATCGCGCTCTCGGCCCCTCCTGGTCCCCAAGCCCTGGTGGCGAATGCCCCTTCCTCCAGCTCACTGTTGCGGTGCAACTTTGATTTAGAAATTGTTCAGAATCTGGGCCGCCGGCGTGCACTGGAGGCGCCGGCCCTAATTCAACGTCCTCCAGCTGCCCTTCTGAATGCCAAGAATAGTTTTCACTTTTCTGGGCCGCCGAAGAGACTGCAAAAATTGTAAAGTTTTGAGGGAACGATTCAGGAAGTGAGCGGCCAGGGTTCTTCCGTTGAAAACCAAACTCCCTGGCAGACCAGGGCTGCAAGCGGTCAAGGAGTTCGCCGGCGCTTCCTCGCTTCCTCCTGGGCGCAGGAGGTGCGGGACTCCCTCTGGGAGGAAGAAGCAGAGGCTCCCAGAGCGGCCCCCTCTCGGGTCTTTCCGAAAGCCAGAGAGGAAGGGTTTTCTGGATACGGATAATTGATTAGTGAGTCAGTGGGAAAAAACTTGAGAATCTGAAGCCTTGCCCCCATCCCCACATCTGGCGGGTATCTCAACTCGTTCAAGGGCTTTGTCTCCCAATCTTGTAAAATAGCGACGTGGTGGAACATAAAAGATTCTCTGTCCCACGCTGCTGGGTGAGATCTTGCGCAGAAAACAGGCAGGATGGGAGGCCGCTCGAAAGCAACCCCTGGCAAGACTCTCAGGAGGCATCACTGGTTGCAGACTTTCCTCCTTAAACTTTCACTGCTGCGGGAACTTCCAGGAATGTTTTGAAAGACAAGCTTCCAGGGTGTTTTAGGTTCTCCTGCTGTTGCTGCCACATTCCTGGGCAGTACTAGCAGATGTTGGTGTGAGGACCCATGGGCAGTACCTGACAGAGATGCTCCGGGTGTGTAGACTGAGATCTGGTGGGATAGGTTCTCTCTGCGGAACATTTCTCAGGGGCCACATCTCCCCCACACGTGGGGACACAGGGCTCTGCGGAGACGCAGCAGCTATGGGAACGGTTTTGGAGGAGAAACACCAAAGTTTCTGTCCACAGGGGGTTGTGCAAGGGAAGAGGGAAGCTGTGCGCTAGCGCTCCAGTGGCCTCAGGGGGCCAGGGTTTTTGATGCCATGACTTGGTTAAAGGGAGTCTCTCTACAAACTCAGAAAGTTTCAGGTTTAGTTGACTTCCCAGGTCTCTGCTCTTCTCTCTCTCTCTCTCTCTCTCTCTCTCTCTCTCTCTCTCTCTCTCTTTTGATGTTACCTTAGGAGGGAGGGGACAGCATAGTGATATGGTTGAACAAACAAGGTTCTCTGTCCCCAGGTGCTGGTTGAGGTCTTGCGACAGTGGGTAGGGCGCTTTCCTTGCATGTGACTGACTTGAGTTTGCAACCTGTAGGGACTCTTTGGCTCTGTGCTCAGGCGTGCACCCAACGGAGGTGCCGGGAGACTATACACAGTGCTGTGGACTCAAACCCAGGTTGGCAGCGTGCAAGGCAAGCACCTTAAACCCTGGACTACCTAAAAAAATACTCTTTTTTTTATTTAGAAACATCTGTATGTGAGGCTGTATAGTGGGTTGTGAGACTTGCATGTGTCCCACCTGGGTTCAATCCCCAGCACTCCATATGGTCCCTAGCTCCCCTTCACCAAGCACAGAGTTAGGTGCAAGCCCTAAGCACAACAAGTGTGTGGGTTAGGGGGGTCTTGCCTCTTACACAGCTGATCCTGATTGGATCCAGGCCACTTGTAACCACAAGAGCACTGTAAGTAGTGATCCCTGAGCACCCCTACATATGTCTATTTGGTAGAACTTGGAGACAGAAAAGATATAGGATAAGGAACCTCACCTCAGTGTTAGTTGAGCCATGCAACCGCCTGGTCAGAGTTTGCTTTCAAACCTCCTCTCTCCTTCCCCTTCCCCCAACACCCCTCCTTAAGATTGAATTGCGATCACCTAGAAATATCACGTGTTGCAAGCTGGAGATTCAGGGGTTCAGTCACTTGCCTTGCATGCAGCTGACTTCAGTTAGATCCCTGGCATCACATGGTCCCCCAGCACTGATAGGAGTGACCCTGAGTATCAAGTGTGACCCTCATCACTCCTCCACCCTCACCAAATTTTATTTATTTATTTGTTTTGGGCCACAACTGGTGGTGCTAAGGGCTGAGTCCCAGCTCAGTGCTCAGGAATCATTTCTGCCAGGTTTGGAGGACCATATGGGGTGCCAGGATTGAACCCAGGCTGGATGTGTACAAGGCAAGTGCCTTGCCTGCTGTGCTATGGCCCCCACATCACATCACATTTTAGTAGAATGTTCTAGGCAGCCTTAATGTAAAACTGATTTCAGTTTAGAAAATCCTGGTCTCAGACTGCCTTGTGACTCAGAGCTCTGCAGCTCTGGGATGCCTGGACGGGTGGAGCTGGAAATTGAAGAGCTGATTCCCCAGGCCTCAAGGTGAGGCCACAAGGAAACCAGGGAAATAAGGAAGTATAGGGAGGAAAAGGCAAAGAGACCCAGAGATACACCCCAGGATATACAGGGTCATCCTTGGGGATCCTTTCCTTGGGGATCCTCCTCAATTTCCAGTTTAGAAAGTCCAGGTCTGAGACTGCCTTGTGACTTTGACCCTTGTGTCCTGCCCACTTGAGAGTCTCAAATGGTGCCTTGAATCACCATCACTGGCCATCCAGTGAATTAGAGTCCTCGGGCTCTGCTTGGTGGCCTGTGCTCCATAGCTTTCTAGAAGCCCACTCATCCTTGGGTGTAACTCAGAAGACTTTGCAGAAATACTTGTTTATATTTTAAGGTAGCATGCTCCTCAGCACTGCAGTGCATGTTTGCCACCATAATTAAACTCTAGTATTAGAAGATGAAGCTTGACATTCTTCCTCTGCTCCCTTCCTAATTCCCTGATCCCCTGCCTTTGCCTTTTAACAAGGGTTTTGTCTCTCAATCTTGTAAAATAGTGATGTGGTAGAACAAGAAAGGTTCTCTGTCCCCAGGTGCTAGTTGAGGTCTTGCGAAGTGGGTAGGGCGCTTTTCTTGCATTTGACTGACTTGAGTTTGGTCCCCAGCACATATGGTCCCAGGAGCCTGTCAGGAATGATCACAAGCATGGAACAAGGAATAAGCCCTGAGTACAGTGACTGTGACCCACCCCAAACAAATAAAATGAATTAAATAAACAGACTCAGCAAGGCCATGCATGTCTCTACCTGGTAAAGCACATGCCTTGCATGTGTGAGTACCTGGATTTGATCCCCAGAAACACCACCATCACAACAAAAGCAAACATGCTTATCAGAAATCCTGTCCTGGGGCTCTAGCTGTGAGCTTGCAGACCTTTGCCTCCCTGAACCTCTTTATTTCCCTGATTTCCTCATGGTCTCACCATGAGGCCTGGGAAATCAGCTCTTCAATTCCCAGCTCCACCCATCCAGGCATCCTAGAGCTACAGAGCTCTGCCAAACTGTGCTTTCCTTATCCCCGCCTGCTGTCCCTGGGACAGGAAACCTGGTGCCAGGGGAGGCCTCTAGTGTGGACCAGAGTGATCTGGGCAGGGCCGAGATCCAGCAGAGATCCAGAGACACACCCCAGGATACACAGGGTCAGGGAAAGTGTCCTTTTCTTGGGGCTCCTCCTCTGGGGACCCAGTGGGCCTGACAGCCAGCTCTCTCCCTTTCTCAATTTCCTAAGCACCTACCATGAGTTTTGGACTCATTGGGTTTGGTTCTGTTTCTTGCTTATGGAAAATCCTTTTTTTCAGGGTGCTAGAGAGAAAGACCCTCCCAGGGAAGCAGTGAGAATGAGCATAGGGTGCAAGTGGGCAAGTGGGGTGTGTTGTGAGCTCTGTGCTCTTCTGTTGGCCTGTGCAGAGGAGACCCTATCATCTGACCTATGTCTTGCTGCATAGAGGAGCTCAGTGTCATTGCTTCCTGGGTGAGCCCCTCCCCCCCATTACTGGTGGTCCCCCACAGGCTCCTTTGGGCACTCGGGCTCCTGGAGAACAGAGTCTTCCCATCTTGCTTCTCTTGATCCCCTAGAGACAAACCCGAGTCTCTACTTTCCCCCACCCCCACCATCCTCCAGTAGAACTCCCCAGATAGAACTCTGGAGAATAG